CGGGTTGATTTGATACGTTTTGGCGCAAAATATAAAAGTTGGAAGATTTGAAAACTCATAATTTGATTCGATGGTCGATTCGTAATTTCGGCGTTGTTTGACGTGGTTTGAAGCCTCGACTAAGTTCGTATTGTATTTTGGGACATGTTGGTATAATTGGTTAAGGTCTCGAGGGCCTTGGGTGGATTTCGGAAGGTTAACGAAATGGATTTCGGATAAAAGGAGCTGCTGGAATTTTCTGTTGCAGAAGTTGTTTTTGGACAGCAACTGGTGTAATCACAAAGCTGATTTTAGAAGCTTATATCTCGAACTCTATAAGGAATCTAAAAAATTTCAAAACATAAACGTTGTAGCTCTTTGATTCTAGTTTCCAGAAAGTTAAACCATTCATCATTTAAACATTTGTACAGAAAGTTATGATCAAGTGAATTAAGGCTAGTAAAACAGTTTTGTAATCGCCAGAAATTTCTGATGCATGGAGCCAGCTTTGGAAGCTTATATCTCGATATCTATAAGGAATCTGAATACTTTCAAAACATGAAAGTTGTATTCCTTTGATTCTAGTTTCCAGAAAGCTAAACCATTTATTATTTGGATATCTGTACAAAAGGTTATGATCAATTGAATGCATGCTGGTAAAGCAGTTTTGTAATCGCCAGAAATTTCTGATGCGTAGAGCCGACTTTGGAAGCTTATATCTCAAAATCTATTGGTTTTCTGAAAATTTTCAAAGCATGAAAGTTGTAGTGCTTTGATTCTAATTTCCAAAAAGTTAAACCATTTATTATTTAAGTATTTGTACAGAAAGTTATGATTCAGTGAATTAAGGCTGGTAAAGCATTTTTGTAATCGCCAGAAATTTCTGATGCGTAGAGCCGACTTTGGAAGCTTATATATCAAAATCTATAAGGAATATAAAAATTTTCAAAATAGAAAAGTTGTAGCGCTTTGATTCTAGTTTCCAGAAAGTTAAACCATTCATCATTTGAACATTTGTACAGAAAGTTATGATCGATTTACCGAAAGTTGACAATGCTATTTTTTCCTGGGACGGAAGCTAAATCGCATGTGTCAAATGCGATTTATAAGTCTCAAATGACAAATGCATCTTGCCTTGGACAGATTCTTAAAACAAGCGTTTCGGTCATTTTAACATACTTGGAGCTATGAAACTTGGATTGAAGCAAGTTTTGAGGTGATTCTTACCATATGGATTTGGGTAAATATTCTCTATCCGCAAGTAATTGTATTTCATAAATCCATGTCAATATTCATCATTATTTCGGATTTAGTTGGAAGAAATTGGGATTTTTGTAAAAAATTTCAAAAAAGAAAATTTTAGATTTGGAGGTCCAATTTTTATCGGAATTTGATAAAATTGGTATGGTTGGACTCGTAATTGAATGGGTTGTCGGATTTTATGAGTTTTGTCAGATTCCGATACGTGGGCCCCACGGTGATTTTTGAGTTGAATTTCGGATTTTAATCCTGAAAATTAGTAAATTCATATGAAATTAATTCTTTCGATTTGTATTGAGTATATTGAATTGTTTACGACTAGATTTGAGGATTTCATACACGAATTCGCGAGGCAAAGGTTTATTGGAATCTGGAATTTGGTTGCAAAGCAAGGTAAGTGTCGTGGTTAACCTTGATTTGAGGGAATAGAATCTTTGAATTATTTGTTATATGAAATCCATGTGTACAATGTATAGGTAAGGTGACGAGTGCATATACGTTGTCAAATTAATTGTTTGCATATTTATTTGAAAATCATAAATTATTTTAAATCATAAATTAATTATTATGTTAATTATTTCTCTCATATTCCTTGCTCAATATTATGCCTTGAATCCATGCTATAATTGTTACATGCTTACTTGATTTATGTGACTTAATTGCTACTTGACATTTAGCATACTAAATATTAAATTACCTATTTCCTTCTTAACTTCCATAATTATTTGATATTTGTCATTACTCGTTTCCTAAATAAATCATAATTATTGTATGCTTATTTGCCATATGATTCCATATTAATCATGACATTTATTGGAGTAATTTCATTTGGAAGAATTGTTAAATTATTCCGCAACGGAATTTATTTAAAGTGTATACTATTGGATCGGGTTGCACGCCGCAACAGAATTTATTTAAAATTTATGTTGTTTGATCGGGTTGCGCGTCGCAAAGGAATTCATTTGAAAGATTATATTGTTGGATCGGGTTGCACGCCGCAACAGAATTTATTTAAAGTTTATATTATTGGATCGGGTTGCACACTGCAACAAAATTTATTTGAAAGATTATATTAAAGGATTGGGTTGCACGCCGCAACGAAAATTGATTGAAATAATAATTGGTTATGACTGCCGAGTTGGCTTTGACTGTTGAATTAATTTACTTGTTTTATTTCTATTCCAGTATTTCTATTATTATTATTATTATTATTATTATTATTATTATTATTATTATTATTATTATTATTATTATTATTATTATTATTATTATTATTATTATTATTATTGCGTATAGGTTAATGTGAGTGATCCGCCTTAGCCTCGTCACTATCGTCGAGGTTAGGCTTGGTACTTACTGGGTACATGGGGTCAGTTGTACTCATACTACACTCTGTACTTCTTGTGCAGATACCGGAGTTGATCCTAGCTGCGCACAATAGATTCGTTCGGATTCAGCTATTCACATGAGACTTGAGGTATATCTGCATGACGTTCGCAGTTCTGAAGTCCCCTTCCACTTTATCATAGCTGTGTATTTCTTTCAAACTGCTTCATTTTCATTCAGACCTTTATTTGTATTATTCTAGTAACTCATGCAATTGTGACACCAGTTCTGGAATGGTTTTTAGACACTGCTATTGTTATGGATTAATCACTTTATTTCAGAATTTACTTCCACAATTATTTTTTTGATATTAAATTAAATTGAAAATGTTTTAAAATAGCTAATATTGTTCTAACATTGGCTTGCCTAGCAAGTGAAATGTTAGGCGCCATCACGGTCCCGAAGGTGGGAATTTCGGATCGTAACATAAGAAAATACTAAATTCTATACAAAAATAGTTAGTGTGACTAAACTAACTTTAATTAAATGTTACAACATAATTTAATATGAGGAGTAAAAGACTTTTTAGGGATACATACATAAGAGTAATTTTGAAAAAATAAATTAATTTTTTTCTTGATTATATAAATGGACACTTATTTTGGACCAAAATAAAAAGACAAATTGGTCACTTATTATGGAACAAAGGGAATAATGTTTATGGGCTCCAATAACAAACTTAAGTTAATACTACAATCATAATTGGATTGATAATTAAAGACTTACAAATATTTAGTTGATTCTTAGGACCCATTAGGCCATAAATTTTGCCAATTTTTCCCAATTTTGTTGGCAAAATACATATGTCTTCATAAAATTTATTCATATTTTGGCAAATTTTCAAATGCCAAAATCAACTCGAGAGCTAGTTTTGCCCAAAATTTTACTATTACTCCATATTTTTTAAAATTTTTAAAAATTATCCTAAACTTTTATATTTTATAAAAGAGCCCATTATTTATTATTTTTAATAATGCTGCTTCGTATTCTCGGTCATCTAATAGTGTATTATGCAGTTCATTATAAAACGATAATTTTGTACCAAATTTATTTCTGTTCAAGACTATGGTTTGTGATAATAATAATGAATATTATTGGTGAAGGTATTGTTCAAGTATTTGTGATAATTTTTAGAACTTGTGGGTATAAGTCATATTTAATATTATTTTTTTTTTAAAAAAGAAGAAGTGAAATATATTTTGAAAACTGATGTCCAAACATATTTTCATCTTCAAACCAAACTTCACCCAAATAGATTTTTTAAAACAAATTTGAGAATTTATGACCAAATGCTAGCTTAGTATAATTAAGAACATGTATAAAAGCTACAAAATTCACGTTAACTCGCAACTAATGCCCCTAATCTAAGCAACTTGTCATGTAGCTTAAAGAGTAAAATGACCTTATGGTATAGAGGATTAAAAAATGGTATGGTTTTGTTTTCTTTACATTCTGTAAATATATTATTAGGCATGTATATATTATATCTATTTTAGGGTGGTGAAGCACCGGTAGCCTATAATGTAACTAAAGGTGAAGTACTGGATGTTCACAGTGTAACTAGTTACTTCTCATAAATGTTTAGGACTAAATTTTTTCATATTTGTTAGGATTAGGGTTAACTACTTGTATGCAATCAAAAAAAGAAGGCAAGAGCTTCTCTCTTCATCTCTGACTGAAACTAAATCCATATTTTGGCATAGTATCAAAGTCATTCGATTGACATACCTATGGCAGGAGATGACAATAAAGACAAAGATTGTGCTGGCAGGAGTAATAGTGGCAGTCTGAGGAAGAAAATATTCTTAGGGATCGTTTGGTTCAAAAGATTAGGCGAGTTATTTCGGTATAAATTTTGAAATTAAATTTATCTCGTATTTTGGCTAGAGATATTAGCTAAAATCGATATTATTTTTATACCAAAACCTTGATCTAACATATATTCTGAGTTATCCCAAGTTATAATCCTGATTATATTATTCAGGGAATGTCTTGATTTTGAACCACACGACATCTAGGGATAATCCCAGGCCAGTTAGAATAGCTATTTGAATGTATTTAGAACTCTTTTATTCAGACCATTAAAAGAGACGGCTATAGTAAACATGTACACACTGAATGAGACTTCATTCATTGTAGATCCAAATTTAACCAAAAATTGAAAAATATTACTTCTTTAGTTAGTCTGTTCTACGCTAATCCAACTTCGTTTAACCAACAAGAATTCTAGGTACGGCAAAAAAAAAAAAAATTAAAACAAGGGTGATCGCTTAGGCACACCCTTTCGACGGTGCATGCGACTTCCAGATACTGACGAGTAGCTGGTTGACGCATGCACAGATGTATACTCAGTGTTCACTAAATCATTCGTATACTGGTAAAATGGAGCTCGATGCTCGATCGATCTCGAGGCTCGACCGAGCATCTGGAACAACAATTAAATGGAAATCGAAGTCACGAGTGAAACCGGTCCCGATATTGAAGTTCAGATATCCGACATAGTCGGCCAAGAACGGAATATGATAAATATCGGACTCGAAAGCAATATCGAGGCCAGCCATTGAAATCATAGGACTTGCCCTCGAGGTTGTTGAAAATATGACCAGCCCTGTTCTTCACGGCCTCAAAGAAAATACCTGCTAGATCAGCCGGCAGAGATCCATGATTCTTGCCATTAACTAATCGTTATGGCATAAATCACGAGATTGGCCAAAAAAGGGAACAAACGGTCCACTAAATCAGGACTTATAATACAACCTAAAAAGGTATGTTTTCCCAATAAACAGAGGAGACTAAGTTATTCACATACATTGTAATACATATCAAGAGCAATATACTGTTAATTCTAGCTTCAATTCATTTTGGCTGTCTTTTATTATATCATTGTTACTGACTGAAGGAAAATCAATCTCATAAGGCTAATATATGCTCAATTTGTAAAGGTTGTATCTATCTTTCTATTGCTCATTTCTACGTTAATCTAATTTCTCGCCCTTGTATCAATTCATACCACGTATCCTTAGAACTGCATATAAATTCAATTGTTATCCAATTTCAAGGATAAACAGTTTGGCGCCCACTGTGGGGCTAAGGATAATAGTGGTTGTTTGGTACAAGCCTACATAACACGCTGCTTTACACTTGCTCTTTGAAGTATCTTTGATTTCAGGCTAAAAATGGCAAACTCTCGATTAGCACTCCCACATATCGACAACGAGTCCGGCTTTCAGGACGAGAATAACAATATGGCGCCCGGTAATGTAGGGCCACCCACTGATGCCATCTGAATTTAGGTCGTAGATCCGATTGATGTGAATTCACATGTGGCCATCAACACAAACATGCTTACCGACCCAGAAAATAGCGTCCGTAGTGGAGCCCGATCGGCAACTCGAAACACACAAAATGCTGAAGAGGACGGGATCAACCTACACATGATTTTCGAAATATTGCAAGCTCAACAGGTGGAAATAGCTCAGTTGCAGAGCCAAAGCTAGACTCTGAGCAGGAACAAACCTGATCCACCTAAAAAAATTACTCACAGAGCGGAACCAACAGTAATAAGGTCGATTGAACAAGAGTCAAGCACCAACCCCGAAGTAATGAAGATGCTCAAGGAGCTGACAAAGCGGGTGTAATCAGGGGAAAATAAGATCGAAGCAAACAACAAGAAGGTCGAAACCTATAACTCCATAGTAGATCAAATCCCGGGAGCACCCCCGGTATTGAAGGGACTAGATGCCAAGAAGTTCGTACAAAAACCTTTTCCTCCAAACACTGCCCCGAAACTAATCCCTAAAAAGTTTCGTATGCCCTAAATAGCTAAGTAGAACGGAACTACCGGACCAAACGATCATGTAACCTCTTATACATGTGCCATCAAAGGGAACGATTTGGAAGACGACGAGATCGAGTTTGTTCTACTAAAAAGATTTGGGGAAACCTTATCGAAGGGAGCCATGATATGATATCACAACTTGCCTCCTAATTCTATCGACTCATTTGTTATGCTTGTAGATTCTTTCGTAAAAAGCACATGCAGGTGTCATCAAGGTCGAAACTAGAAAAACAGACCTTTTCAAAGTTAAACAGAAGGATATCGAGACGCTTAGGGAATTCGTGTCCCGTTTGCAAATGAAACGAATGGACCTGCCGCCAGTCACTGATGATTGGGTTGTTCAAGCTTTTACTTAGGGACTCAATATTCGAAGCTCTATTGTTTCACGGCAATTGAAGAAAAAATTAATAGAATACCCTGCCACTATATGGGTCAACGTGCACAATCGATATCAATCGAAAATTAGAGTCGAAGATGGCCAACTCGGAGCCCCTTCGGAGTCTATTTGTCCCGCCAGGACCCTCGAAAGAATCAATAGAGACACCGATCACGAGGCAGGATTGAACAAAGATCGATATCGGCCATATAATGAAGATCGTAGGAGCGGCGAATCGGCCGAAACCATTTGAGAAACGAAAGGAGAAATGATCAAGGTAGAAATAATAGGGGGATCATGACCAAAAACGGCTTCGACTGGTCCATCGGGCCTAAAGAAGCTCTGAGGCTATCGGAGTACAACTTTAGTATCGATGCAACCGCCATCGTATCGGCCATCGGGCAGGTCACATATGCTAGATGGCCTCGATCTCTACAATCTAATCTAGCTCAAAGGGAACCCCGCATGGTGTGCAAATACCATGGAACTCACGGTCATAGAACAGAAGATTGTCAACAATTGAGAGAAGAAGTAGCCCGACTATTCAATAATAGGCATCGAGAATTTTTGAGCAACCTAGCCAAGAGTCACTTCAGAAATAGGGATTCTAACAGGCAAACAGAACAAGAAGTTACTGAACATGTCATTAATGTGATCATTGGGGGTGGGGTCGATTCCCCTTAGGAACCAACGTTGAAATGCACCTGGGTGTCCTTCACCAGGGAAAAATAAGCTCGAGAGTACGGATAGAAGGGAGTCCTATCATTCAGCAATGAAGATGCAAAAGGAATCATACAACCTCACAATGATGCACTGGTAATATATGTACTAGTAAATAAAACTAGAATTAAATATGTATTAACTGATCCAGGTATCTCGGCCAACATTATTCATTCGAGAGTCGTAGAACAACTTGGGCTACTAGACAAGATTATGCACGAAGTCCGAGTCCTAAATGGGTTCAACATGACATGTGAAACCACTAAAGGGGAGATCATATTACCAGTCAATACCGCAGGAGTCATATGTGGGACCAAATTTTATGTGATCAAGGGAGACATGAGGTACACCGCCCTTTTCCGAAGGCCATGGATCCACCACATGAGGGAGGTACCCACAACTCTTCATAAAGTGGTGAAATTCCCGGTCTTGGAATGGATTAAGATAACCTATGGAGAACAACTGGCAGCAAAACAGACGTTTGCCGTCAAAAAGGTGATTCCGATATCAACACTCACAACATCAAAGGAACTAAGTTCAAGCCTCGACATCGAGGCCAAATTTCAATCACCGATACCGGCCTCGACACAATCAAATAAGAAAAGTTTTTTCGAAGGCGATGATTATGGGGTCCCTCCATCTTTATAGTACCAGATGACTCTGATGCTACCAAATCAATTGTCGAGGAGCTAGAGCAGGTACATTGATCGAACATCTGCCCGATCAAAAAGTATACCTGGGCACGGGGTTAATTCCCGAGCACAAGAAAAATCTTATTCAATTTCTCCTAGTTAACATCGATTGTTTTGCTTGGTCCCATCTTGATATGGCAGAGATCCCACCGGAGTAACCACTTACAAGCTGAGCCTGGATCTGAAAATTACTCTGGTCAAACAGAAGAGGAGACCCCAGTCCGAAGTAAAGCATGTTTTCATCAGGGAAGAAGTATCTAAACTCCTTAGAATAGGGTCCGTTCGGGAGGTTAAATACCCGGAATGGTTAGAAAACATAGTGTTAGTCCCCAGAAAAGGGAACAAAATGCGAAATGTGTGTAGATTATAAAGATTTAAATAAGGCATGTTCCAAGGACTTTTTCCCTTCGCCCAATATCAATCGCATGATCGATGCCACGGCCAACCACGTGACCCTCAGTTTTCTCGATGCCTATTCTGGGTATAACCAAATACGGATGAACCCGGACGACCAAGAAAAAACTTCCTTTATCACTAAATACGGCACATAGTGCTATAACGTAATGCCATTCAGATTAAAAAATGCTAGTGCCACTTACTAACGTTTAGTAAATCGAATGTTCGAGGAAAAGATAGATAAAACAATGGAAGTTTACATTGATGATATTCTAGTTAAGTCCCTATGAGCAGAGGACCATTTAAAGGATTTGCAGGAAACCTTTCATATATTAAGGAAGTATAACATGAAGCTGAACCCAGTGTGAGCACCTAATTTTTGATCATACTTGGGATTTTTCAACACTTTTAGAAAATAATTTTTAGTTTAATCTACATATTTTAAATTTTATTTCATTTTTAGTAGGTTTTATTTAAGAAAATTTAAAATAAAAAAAAATTTTGTTCTTGATTTTAAAATATTTAGCTAGTATTTTTATTTTACACTCTTAAAAGAAAAGAAAAAATATTAATTAAAGCAACAACCAATGAGTCATTTCCATGTGGCAAAAGATTCTCTCTTATCATCTAATTCACATGCATTTTCGTAGCAATTTCCTGCAAATAACACCTACCCTAGACAATCACACTCCCAATCCTTATCTCTTCCACCAATTAATCCCTATACCTACACCTATATATCTACACACTCATCACATAATTAGGGGGTCCACCCAAAAATCCCAAAAGCTAAGAATGGCCGAGGTGGTGCCACAACCTTAAAATTATATACCAGAGGTGATTCTAAAGAAGAGGAAGAACAATGAAGAGTGGGCAATCAGAAGAAAACTCCAGCTAGAGCAGAAAGTCAAGAGACTTAAATATGATAATTTTGTTATCAAGAAGCCTGAGCAGTTCATTCGAGAGTATAGGGATAATGTGTGGATCTACTTACCGGAGTTTGAGCATGACAGACACCCTGAGACCATCCAGTCAGGACCGTTTCATCCAAGAGTTGCTTAAGGAGATTTTTATTTTATTTTTTGAGGCTATTTTTTGTTGTCTTGTACTTTATAGTCATGTTCAGTAGCACTGTTTCTTTTAGTTAGTGTCAGAGTTTGTCGTAGTATATTTGAGTTTTTCGAGTCTCTCGTTATCGTATTTCCTGTTTTGTATTTGAAAACTCAAAAAGATTTTTGTTTTTAGTTTATTACATCTTCCGAACTACGCAAAGATCTGATTCATACGGCGTCATTATATGTAGGCAACCTACATAGGGTTTGATCGAATCATTTTTTTAAGTTAAAAGAAAAGAAAAAAGGAAACTAAAAAAAAAATTTAAATTATGGGATGTGAGAAATGAGAGAAAAGAGTGATAATTAGAAAAAAGATGGGAGGAAAGTGAGCAAGCTAAGAAGTGCTAGAAAAGAAAAGAAAGAGAAGGTTGAAATGAAAAATTGGGATGATGCCATATGACTTTCATACCCTCGAAGTCATTTT